TCCGCAAGGCAAATATTAATTACTTCAGCCACTGGTGTTTACCGAATGTCGCCCAAAATCCTTAGCACACTTTTCTTTCAAAGAGCGACACTTAAAACTTTACAACAAATTTTATCGTGGAGAAAGAAAGAATTACGTCTTTAACTGTTTTAGGAATATAAAGTCAAGAAGCAGAAAATTGCATTCAGAAATCTTTATATAAGCTACGAGGGGCAAAAGCGTTCCCGAAAATAAAAACCACTTATAAGCAGATTGTGAAACAACAAGGACGCGAAAACCCAAGGTTCAGCAATGCGATTATGGGTGACAGAGAAGGGGGGGCATAACGGGATTTCCAAGAGCCGTCTATGTAGGATACAGGGAGTACACGTCGGTGGAACATAACCAGCGGCCCGCGGGAAGTCTCAATCATGGATAATATAGTTTGTGTATAACAGCTGTTATCCTCCAAGCATAATCAGAATGATCAAGTCAAGGAGAATGAGGTGGGCGGGGTATGTAGCACGAATGGGGGAGACGAGGAATGGATATAGGATATTGGTGGGAAAGCCAGAAGGAAAGAGACCACTGGGAAAGCAAAGGCGTAGGTGGGTGGACAATATTAAAATGGATCTTAGAGAGAGAGAGGATGGACTGGTATGGATTGAATTGATTTGGCTCAGGATAGGGACCAGTAGAGGGCTATTGTGAACACGGTAATGAACCTTCGGGTACTATAAAATTCTGGGACATTCTTGAGTGGCTGAAGAATTGGCGGCTCCTCAAGAAGGGCTCAGCTCCATTAGTAAGTAAGTAAGTAAGTAAATAAGTAGGGCCGCGCCATAGCTCAAGCAGTTAGTCGCTAGCTTCCCACCGCGGAGGCCCGGGTTCGGTCCCGGGTTTGGTCAAGTGGGATTTGTGGTGGACAAAGTGGCGCTGGGGCGGGGTTTCTCCGAGTATTTCGGTTTCCCCTGCCAATCTTCATTCCACGAATTATTCCACAATCACTCTGACCTTGCTATGAGAATGGTAGCTCGAAGGATATGCTCCTCGATACGTGATGAGTATGATGTAAAGCCGTGTAGTTCGGAGAGAGCTAGACGTTTCGAAAGAACTGATCGCCTCCATCTTCAGGGCCGAAAAAATATGTCAAGCAAGAAACCAAGAGATGCAAACGGAAAGTTCAAAAAGGATCTCAGATCCAGTCTCTTTACAATTCCTCAGAGATTTATTTTGCAGTGCATTTCTGTACTTCAAATATTCCCTTTGTTTGACAAATACATCCATTTAACTCGACATCTGAGAGAGGCATATTAAACTGTAAAACTTCGTAATATTTTTCGTTGATTTAGATATGTAAATTGTATATAGTAAAAAGGTAAAGTTCTCCCTGTACTAACTCATTAAGCACTACGCCATGAAGGCGTATGGGGGAATGGATGTATATATCCACATATTCATCTAAGCACTAGCTGGAGGTGAGTGGTCAGCTTCACGCCTCGGCCGCTTTACTCAGGGGAAAGATCCCTCGGTACCCACTGAATATGAGGTTGGGTGGACCCCAGAGCCGGTCCGAACGACGTGGAGAAGAGAAAATCCTTGACTCCACCGGGACTCGAACTCTGACCTCTTGGTCGTCCAGCCCGTAACCAGTTGCTATACCGACTTCACTATCCCAGCTCCTAAACTGTACATAGCATATACGAGTATATGCTATATACACAATACATATTATGTATAAACTATATAAATATTTTATATGATGTACTTTTGATGTCGAATATCTCATATATGTCAGTATTTTTTGTTTCTGTAACACTATATAAGCTATAAACTGCAGGGTTTTTTCCCTTGGCACTACAGCCCCAGTGGGCCTAGGCCTACCTCCATGAACTCCGTTAACTTCGGTTTTTCTAGATCTTACACATACGGTAGGACTCCTTGGGCGAGTGATCAGCTCGTCGCAAGGCCTCTACTTGTAGACAAACACAGAAAAGCGCACACAAACATCCATGCCCTGAGTGGGACTCGAACCCACGATCCCGGTTTCCAAGCGAGCGAAGACAGTACATGCCTTAGACCGCTCGGCTACCGTGACCGGCAGTGTATAAGAATAATATATAAGAATTCAGTTCGTACCTCACAGGAAACAGATCCGAACCCACGATCCCGGCTTCCGAGCGAGTGAAGACAGTACATGCCTTAGACCGCTCGGCTACCGTGACCGGCAGTGTATAAGAATAATATATAAGAATTCAGTTCGTACCTCACAGGAAACAGATTCGAACCCACGATCCCGGTTTCCAAGCGAGCGAAGACAGTACATGCCTTAGACCGCTCGGCTACCGTGACCGGCATAAACTGCGGTTAGAAAAGAAGAAAAATGAGGAGATATGGAAATATATGCCACGTAAGATAAACTGACGTAATGAGGAGTTCAGCGGGTAAAACAAGTGCAAAGGAGCTATGACGCTGGGGCAACACAGACAGCCTTCCGCTATAGTCTACACCAACAGAGATACTGGCCTACCAAGAAAGAGACTGGGAGCTACAGAACCAGGAAATTACCCATACCCCGAGGTGAACATGATGGCTCTCATAATAAGGCCTGAGGTTTTGTTCCTTCCGAATTTCAACAATTCTAGGATTTGAGGTTATCACAGCGGTGATAATGGAAAGATGTATCCTCTGGGATATAACTCCGTGTAGACCGTTGCGATTCAACTAAAGTTTCGGAGGTATATTTCGCTTCCATCATGAACCAGAGCTTCACACGTGCTTCTTGCTGGTTTCTTGCTTGATTCACTACTCGAATCTGAATATGAAGCCTATGTTCCTCCTTAACGTCGGTTGACTTACATGGCGTTACACCCAATTTTACAAATTGATTTGATTCTGAGTAATCCTGGTATAATATTATGATATGCAGAATCAGTGTCACGCAACGGCTGTATAAACAGGCGACAGTATAACAGCCGTTCATAGAGAACGGCTCTGTGGAAATGTTGCTTCCACGTAAGCGAAAGTACACGCAATAATTAAAAACGTTTTCTGTGGAGTCCGTGCCGGGGATATATAACGAGGACTAGTAGTTCGAGAGAGTAAAATATTGTCGCGAGTCCCAAGGGACTCGGACCCGAGAACGACCGCGCAGCATATCAAAAGTGAGATACGTCCTCTCATTAGAGAGGCCGCCGCACAAAAAGAAGACCGTAACTATTAAACAGTAATAATTAATATCTGGTTATGAGCCCTAGATGGGGCTCGACACCAAGATTTACTGATTGACTCACCGTCAGTCGCAATGTGACTTTGACTTTGAAGAATTCTCTGGAAAACGACAGACACGTCCTCTCGTCAGAGAGAGCGTGCCACATTAACAAGCCCGCAAGTGTCTGACAGCAATAACGATTTAGTTTTAAACCCCAGTCGGGCCCTTTATTCCAAAACAGACTGACCGACTGAACGTCGGTCGTAGCATAACTTTGACTTTGACTTTTGAAGAATTTTCAATAACATGCCATATGTTCGATCTGTACACTAGAAGAAAAGCCAACCATATTCACGAAACAAAACCATCTTCTCGTCAGAGAGGATGTTATACATAAGGTTCATTACCGTAAGGGTTGAGTTGCAAACACAAATCTGTGGTCGTGATCCTCAAGGGGCTCGACGCCGAGAAGAACTGATTGACGGCAAACCGCCAGTCGTAAATTAACTGTGACTTTGAGTGGTAGGTTGAGTCAGTTGAGAGTTGCAGCTGTGAGAAATGAGAAGCTGGTAACTGAGGCAGGGGATAGTTCTGGAACGTCTGCCGTTGGAAGCCGCTAGTAAGCAACGGCTAGTGAAGACTGAGTAGAATTTAGTCACGTTCTGTAAGTGTTCAATATAATTGATTACCAATAATCACTCAGGCACGTGACAATATAACACTGAAATAAATCGGTTACAGAAAATGAACTTAATTTCCACTCGTACAGTTCTGTTTCCCTTCTGTGCAGTTCTGGGTGATAACACTGATGATATCCAACATTGGAAGAACCTCCCACGATAATCAGATTCTCCGATCATAACAAGTTAATTAAAGCATTTGATAACCGATAATTTCAATGGGGACACGGCAGTACGTAAATGATTTGACATACCGTTACAGTGAACGAATATTGAAGTCGACGAGGTGTATCCACATGTGCACTCATGTTAATGTCTGCAACCCAGATGACGTCATTCTTCATAGGCACCGCCATGAAAACCTCAAATCTTACATTCTTTATAGTCGAATACAAAAAAGAAAACTTTACTTAAACTAATCTCAGATACATGACTGAATATGTTAACTAAATAGGATACCAGATACATATAGTAATACTCCGTGGCCTGTAGTCCGCAAGCGAACTATACCGACCGAGCGACCGCCGCTTGTCGGCTAAGTTAGTGCCAAATTTTGCGGATAGAGGGTGTCACGTATAGTAGTAAGCATTTATATTATATGAGACCATATATATATAGAGAGAGCGCAATTCAATACTTTAACAAATTCTTTAAATGTACCGTCCGATGTTGGTTTTAGGAAATGAAACTTGTAGCGCGAGATAATACTAGAAGACCAATAAACTTATTATTTCACAGTGAAATGTGTGCGAGTTTTGATGGTTCTTGTGTTGACACTCCGTGGTTTTATTCCGCAAGTGAAATATACCGACCGAGCGACTGCCGCTTGTCGACGAAGTTAGAGCCAACTTTAGCGGATAGAGGGTGTCGCGTGGTCAGCGCAACGAAAGGAACACTTTTAAAAGTAATTTTAAAACACAACAGGATGCATTTCTTGAAGATTTACAGTTTCTATTTTTCGTTTGATGCTAGAGAGACCATATTTCTCAAAATATATAGCAAAATTATTATTTTGAAGGTATTTATGTCAAGTGTGTGAGAATACGAACGTATAACCAACATTTATATTCCCCAATATTTTACTAGATATTGCCAAATTTGTCGAACGTCATTACATCTGTGGGTCTTACCTGCCCTGACAGTGACCTCTCTGCTGATGATGGTGCCGACGCTGTTGGCTACGACGCACCTGTACACGGCCCAATGGACGTCCTGGCGGAACACCTCGGCGTCGAAAGGTGGGAAGTAGATTGAGCCGTTATTGAGCACTAGTCTGATTCCAGGGATGGAAGTTACGGCCAAGTTGTCAGGTCCGAGCCACTCGACCGTGGGTTCCGGATTGCCACGGGCTGAGCAATCCACACGCCCACCACTGGAGTTAGTGAACTCTACTTTAGGAGGAGGCTCACCCACAAAAACGGGGCCCTGAGTGTCGTAAAGAGACCCCGCATTCACTTCAATTTCTGCAACAAAGAAACGATACAAGGTTTGTATGGCTTTTGTCTGATTCCACAGAACTGATATATCTCTCATATTATAGCGTATAGAACCGTCGCTATGTAACGACCGCGACATGGGCGACGACTTGGTAAACACGTACTCGAACCAACAGACAAGGAACGAATCAAAAGAGATGTGTTTTCTATTTTGTCCGTGCCGAAATGTTATAAGCAACGGAAAGTTAGAGCTCAGTCAGTTCTATACGGGAGTCTGTGAAGAGATGATTTGAGCACGTGAAGCTGAAGAATCTCCACTGTTAGAAGCCGTTACCAGAAAACATCTAATGAAGACAATGCAGGCTGGAGAATACTTAGCATGTAGTGGTTTATAGAGTGTGGATGTCAGCGATAGTATTATATTATTTGTAGTTAACGACATTTAAGTGGTCAATAATTCGAGTCACCAATCAAAACCCCGTCTATAGTCATACATACGCGTGAAAATATTTAACTAGAATGAAAATGTAGTCAGACAAAAAGGTAGAACTAAAAGGAAAACTTAGAAATAATATTGCAGTCTGATTTGTACACAGGACGTAAAAGTTTTGAATCTTTGTCGTAACTTCGACTACTTTGCCCATGGACCTACTATCAACATTGGTAGTCCCCAGACAGACTTGAAGACAACGAAAGATTTCGATCTGGGCTTTGTATCTAAAGACCTCTCAAATCAGAGCTGAGAGCGTATTTACCTAATTCGGTATTTTCTATGAAGGTTTTGGATTGAATATTCAATTTTTTGACCACTTTAACCCATAACTAGTAATTCCACCTAACTGTAGCTCCATCGCTAATTTCCACACTCTAGAGCACACTAGAAGTCTTTTCCAGCCGGAAGAGTCTTTATTAGTAGTTGCCTGGTAACGGCTTCTAACAAGGAATATTCCTCTGATTTCGGACTCGAAGTCCTCTCTGAACAGCGACTCCCTTCCAACCTTATATTACTACCAACGGTTAGTCAGCCAGCCTGTCTTGGAATAAAACAGCCATCTGGTGCTTATGACTACATTTTTATTACTGTCAGACAGTTGCGGGTTTGTTGATGTGAGGCGCTCTTTCTGACGAGAGGGCGGGTCTATCGTTCACAATTTATGCTGGCCCTCGCCAGCGCAGTCATTCTCGGGTCCGATCCCCGTGGGGCTCGTGACCATATTTTACTGTCTCAGATTTGAGACTTCTCTTTTTGTCACCTCCTACGACTGGCAGGGTCACGGTGGAGGTATTCGACCCCGCCTTCACACGGGATTAGTCAAAAGTCAAAGCCACATTGCGACTGACGGTCGGTCAGTCAGTCAGTCAATCATTCAGTCTTGATGTCGACCCGATATTTATTACTGTTTGACAGTTACGGTCTTGTTTTTGTGGGGCGCCCTTTCTGACGAGAGGATGGGTCTGTCATTGTCTGCAGTAGTGAGATATTTATAATAATGTAAAGAATATTTACATTTTACATGTTAAACATGTTAATAAATGTACATAAAATATTTGCAGGGCCTCGTCAGTCCAGCAGATTACGCCCTATTTCTAGTAACTTCCGCTACAACGACAGTATAGTCACTTAAACGGTCGTATGCTTGACCACGGGATTAGTAATATCCATTAGTTTTGTAGCCTTTCGGCACGGACCACCTAAGAAAACACCGTTTCCAATAACACCTCTACTGTTCCGTGACGATCTTTACTTTGGAGATGTGTTTGTTACTGTTACCTAGTAATGGCTCTGGTATATCTGCTCATCTCGCAGTCGTTGCATAGTATCGGCTGTACACGCTACAGTATACAGAAAGAAACCAGTTCATTTTGACATATAACCAAGAATATCAACACAGGTTTCAAATAAGAGTTACCTCTAAATAGGGCCGAGACATAGCTCAAGCGGTTAGTCGCTGGCTTCCCACCGCGGCGGACCAGCTTCGACCCCGGGTCTGGTCAAGTGGGATCTGTGGTGGCCAAAGTCGTTCTGGGGCGGGTATTCTCCGAGTGCTTCTGTTTCCCCTGCCAATCTTCATTCCACCAATTGCTCCACAATCACCCTCACCTATCACCTGGGGCTGGTACAATAGGCCAGAAGTGGCCGCAGTACAAGGGACTTAGTCCCACACGACTAGCAATAAAAAACCCCCCTATAAATAGAAGCTTTAAAGGATCAGGATATGTCTCATTTAGGCAGCTCAACTTAACAAATTGTGTTATGTTCCTAAGGCAGAGGTAGTTAATAGTTTCGGTAAGAATACTTCCTTCATATATGAAGCTATGAAAATACCACATCAAGGAAATGAGTAAACTTCGTGAAATTATATTATAAGTAAGAGCAAATATCTTTGAAGAGCAAGTTTATAAACTGGTCTCATTTACGCCAGGAAGTAACAGTGTTGAGCACGGTTGGGAGATGTCCTATTAACTATCATGGCTGTCGCTACCAGATTTCATTTCAGATTATATAATAAAACAAACTCCGTGGTTTCAGTCCGCAAGCGAACTATACCGACCGAGCGACCTCCGCTTGTCGGCGAAGTTAGTGCCAACTTTTCCGGATAGATGGTGTCGCATGGTCAGCGCATCTGATCCCCACGGCTCTTAATCACGGTTCTCTTGACAGGAGTCACTATTTCCTTGAAATAGCTCCTCAATTATCCTCACCAGGCTGAGTGGACCCCGTTCCAGACCCACTACTTCTCAGAAAAAATCTGGAGCGCTGGAACTGTAGCCAGGAACTCTGACCACTAGACCACAGAGGCGATATCTCTAATACTCGCATCTTTGCCTGTTGCCTGTACTATATTCCGATTTTGAGCCAGTTGCTCTATTTCTCGAAACCTGTGAGTCTTTTAACATCTGTGAAAATAACAGACTTATAGGGACATTTTATTGGGCACTGTCCATTGAAAGTCATGTTTTACATAAACAACGTTGGGACTGATTTCAGGCAATTTGTTTTTATTACGGCTCCAGTTACGCGAGCATGAATTGTGTATTTAATCTCGAATCGCANCCAACTGATCTTCTCCATCCTTCTCCAACACCACATTTCGAAACTTTCCAGATGTTTCTGATCTACTGTCCTAAGTGTCCATGTTTCAGCCCCATACAGAGCTATGCTCCAAATGTAGCATTTCACTAGTTTCTTCCTCAAATTTAAGCCCAATTTGCTGGTTAAAAGATTCTTCTTCTTGCTAAATGCAGCTTTTGCCAGGGCAATCCTGGATTTAATTTCACACATGCATAATATACCTCGGAAAAATGAGAAGTACCTAACAGAATGTTGGCAATGAACTGTCGGTGGCCAGTGGCCAGTGGCCATTTGTCGAGATTGCACTAACACAAGATGTCAACATGGCAACCTGAAACTTCCAACAGTCATATAGATAATGAAACCAGCCACCAATATTATTAAACTGATAAGTAACGAGGTAGAACACGCGGTAGCGAAGTTGGTTGAGGCACTATGCTACAAGACGGTAGGACGTGGGTTCGATTCCCAATGAGGTTAACGGATTCTTTTCAATTTATCTAATCTTTCCAGCCACACTATGGCCCTGGGGTCGATTCAGTCTCTAGCAGAAATGAGTACGAGGGATCTTCTGGGGGTAAAAGACGACCGGCGCGTAAGGCTGACAACCTCACCAACATCTGTGGGCCGATTGTCTAGAACAGGCATGTCTAACGCATCGATCGCGGGATGATTTTTGGTCGATCTTATAGGCCTATAAGGAAATTATACGTTAAAAGCATTTAAATTCACTTGTACTATATAATATGATTATATTCAGATTCTGAAGGGAAAATACGTATTAAAGTAGTTTGTACTTTCAATGTACGTTGCTTTTAAAACAAACATCATGTGTCGTGTTATTTTTAGCAATATTTTTGTTATAGAGAGGTACGGCGATAGGAGAGGGTGGTAGATCACTGGCAGTTTTGACACTAAAAGTCGATCACAACCTGTCTGAAGTTGGACATGCCTGGTCTAGAAGATGTGGGTGTCTCGACGTCTTGCAACCCTATGGGTCTCCATGGACTGTTACAGGGATTGCTTTACCTTATACAACTAGAAAAATAATTCCGTTTATTTTCTTTTTGGAGCATATAACCATAAAAGTATTATTTGAAATTAGAGATGGTCTTAATTATAAACATATATAAAAATTCTTCAACTCGGAGACTTCTACTTCCTACTTCTCTCTGGCTCTCTACGTGAGTTATCCAAAATTCGGGTGTCCATAACAAGTTAATTGCTTTTCATTTTTTTTTATTTTTCCCTTTCTTATATAATTGTTATTTCTCAGATAAAAACATTAGTACTGGTCCAGCATGCTTCCGAGAAGGCCGAAATGACTCACATGACTGCAAATACATTAATTAGAAAGAAGACCCAAAGCAATCTCGTCAAATGCGTGAGAGAGCTTTACCGTGTATCTTAAACACCGAATTCACTAGCTTCAATGTGTGTACGGACTCGTAAATTTCGGAACGAAAACTTCGGAATTTCTATTATGTTGACGACAACATTAACAGCTATAAAATCCGTCTACGTTGGCTACGCTTAATCACAGGATGTCTGAGAGATTAACGTGCCCTGTACACACAATTTAAATTCACCATTTTATTAGCTCATGCAAATGATGTGCAATTAGCCGGATGGAGTTGTTGGACCTTTACGTTCGTAAGATGCTGAGTCGCGTGTAGCGTGTCAATTCCCTGCTTCTACATTCCCTGTTTGTTTCTACCAAACGTACCGAAACATCCTAAAAATTACTCGTATTATAGGGAAGAAGTATATTACAGTTATCCCTGTAACAAGCCGTGGAGGCCCATAGCGTTGTGAGACGTCGAGGCTCCCACATGTTTTAGACTCACAGATGGCGGTAAGGTTGTCAGCCTTACACAAATTTACCTTACTGAATTTAAATCTACTATGAATTTTCTTGTAACTTAAGTTTATTGAAAGAAGTTCCAGAAATGTC